TTTGATAATGTATGTTTTTGAGGAACTGACTCATTTAAATTAAGAGATGTTCATAGTGTTTCCTTATTATCCTTTTAATATCTATAGGATCTGCAATTAGATCTCATTTCATTTCTAGTATCATTAACTTTGGTCTTTTTTTGTTTTTTTTAAGAGACGGAAGTCTCACTATGCTTCCCAGGCTGGATCTGGACTCCTGGGCTCAAGTGATCCTCCCACCTCAGCCTATCAAGCCATAAAAAGACATGGAGGAGCTGAGAACGGTGGCTCACACCTGTAATCCCAACACTTTGGGAGGCTGAGTTCAAGTTGCGGGCCTGAGCAACATAATAAGACTTTATCTCTACTGAAAATGAAAAATTAGCAGGGTGTGATAGCTTGTGTCTGTGGTCCCAGCTACTTGGAAGGGGGTGGGAGGATCATTTGAGCTCAGGAGGTTGAAGCTGCAGTGAGCCATGATCTCACCACCACACTCCAGCCTGGGTGACAGAGTGAGGCCCTATCTCAAAAATAAAAAGAAAAGAAAAAGAAAAAAGAAAGAAAGAAAAAGACATGAAGGAAACTTAAATGCATATTACTAAATGAAAGAAGGCAATCTGAAAAGGATACATACTGTTATGATTCCAACCACAGTCACATACTATATAACAACATTCTGTTCAATGACAAATGGCAATATGAAAAGGTGGTACCATAAGATTGTATTAGAACTGAAAATTTCCTATTTAAATACTCAGTGATGTCATAGCACAAGAAATCACTCACAAGCATTTGTGGCGATACTTGTGTAAAAAAAACCCACTGCACTGTCAGTCATATAAAAGTATAACACATACAATCGTGTACAGTACATAAACCTTGAAAACAATAATAAATGACTAAGTTACTGGTAAATGACTATGTTAAGTTCACGTACTTACTCTACTATGCTTTTTATCACTATTTTATACTATATTCCTCCTCCTTCTTAAAAAAAAAAAAAAAACAGTAAAACAGTCTCACGTAGGTCCTTTAGAAGGTATTTCAGAATAAAGCACCATTATCACAGGAGATGAAAGCTCCATGCATGTCCCTGAAGTTCTACCAAGGGGACAAGATGCAGAGACGGGAGACAGTGATACTGATGATCCCGACCTTATGTAGGCCTAAGCTCATGTGTGTGTTTGTGTCTTTGTTTTAAACAAAAAAGTTTAAAGGAAAAAATAGAATAATAACAATTTCATTTAAAAAGCTTATAGAACAAAAGAAAAAACATCTATAACTATATAAAGAAAAAACATTTTTGTACAGCTGTACAATGCATTTGTATTTTAAGCTAAGTATTAATTACAAAAGAATCAAAAAGTTTAAAAAAGTTTTAACTTTATAAAGTAAAAGTTACAGTAGCTAATGTTAACTTAGTATTGAAGAAAGAAAAACATATAGTTTTAAATTTAGTACAGACTAAGTGTTTATAAATTCTACAGCAGTATATAGTATCCCAGGCCTTCACATTACCACACATTTACATACCCAGAGCAACTTCCAGTCCTACAAGTTCCATTCAAGTGCCCTAGACAAGTGCACCATGTTTTATCCTTTATACCATACTTTTACTGTACCTTCTCTATGTTTATATATGTTTAGATACACAAATACTTGCCATTGTGTTACAACTGCCTACAGTATTCAGTACAGTAACATGCTGCACAGGTCTGTAGTGCAGGAACAGTAATATCATATAGCCTAGGTGTGTAGTGTTATACCATCTAAGTTTGTATAAATACACCCTATGACGTTCACACAACAAAGAAATTGCCTAATGATGTATTTCTCAGAACATATCCACATTGGTAAGAGACGCATGACTATATATGCTGGAAAAGGCCAAACCATGAAGATAGCAAAAAGATCCGTGGTTCCCACAGTTTGCAAGGAGGAAGAGATGAACAGGTGAAGCACAGAGGATTTTTCTGGCAGTGAAACTATTCTTTATGATACTATAATAGTGAATAATTGTTACCATTCTCTCCCAGAGGAAAAAAAAATATGACCAACTCACTAGATACAGTAAAAGATCTTTTAAAATGTCAATACACTTGTCAAAATCCATAGCATATGTACCACCAAAAGTGAATCTTGGACTCTGGATAATAAGGATGTGTCCCAGCATAGGTCTACTGATGATAACAAATGTACCACTGGTGCAAGATGTTGACAGTAGGGCATGCTGTGTGTGTCCAGTGGACCTTCCACTCAGTTTTGCTGTAAACTTAAAACTCCTCTAAAAGATAAAAGTCTATTTAAAAAAATGGAAACCACTAGGTTTGAGAAACTGAATAATTG